GCGAAGAGACACCTCTATACCTAGAACTGTACACAGGACCTGAAAAGCCCTCAAAAAACCCCAGCTATTGGGATGCAATTGGCAAGGAGTCGCGTTGATGAAATTCAAAAAATCGCACTCAAACTGGGTAAAAGGAAGACAGACACCCAAATCCCTAAAAAAGCATTGATATACATAGAAATGAGGGGGATCAGTAGACCTCCCCATATACACGCCCTCATCAGCCTGACAGGGCTCAAGCCGAATCATGTGGGAAATGGAGGAATCGCAAACCCTATGCGCTCTCCGAAACGCATTCACTTCGAGGAAAGAGCGAAAAATGCTCTGAGCCTCGGCCACCTCGCGTTTGACCCAGTCGTAACCAGGAACGCCCGGCTCTGGGCCCCTAGGTGGCGGCGAATCTTTCTTCTCAACAGTGACCCTTCCGGCGGCCACCACCTTGCCACGCGCCTTGCCCCTGGCAGACGCAGAGGATCCGGCACCACTTCCACCGGCCATGAAAAAAGAGAAGAAGCAAATAAAAAGGAAGTACCTGGTACTCCTCCTCAGAAAACAACCCTACCAAAGAAGGGACTACCGGAAACGACGACGGCGACGGAAGCGCAAAAGAGAAAGGAGGTAAAGGGAACCAAGAAAAGCTCTCGTACTCGAGAAGTCAGAAGAAAGACAGGGAAGAGGCGCGAGAAGAGAGAAAGGCTAAAACTCTCCCCGAAATTCAAAACCGACGCGACACGTGTCAGTTGAAAGGCACACCCGACGACACACTTATTACCAAACCATCATTAAAAAACCGTCACTGCCCCCAATACGTCAATCAAACGTCTCCAGAGCATGAACAGTCGCGACACGTGGCGAGCCTCCAGCTAGCGTACGCGCAAAGCCACCTCTCCTCTCACGAGCCCGACCTTAACTCCTCGGCCTACGGCCTTCGGAGCTCGGGGGGCTAGTGTACTGACCGCATTTCGCACCCGGGCTCTCAGCCCGGGTTGACATTATAAGGGTCATCCCGGGCACGCGTTGAACAACGTCAGCCCAGAATCCGGACAGATCACGCCCGAGCCCGGAGATCTCGTCCCAGGCCAAAACCGTTCTCCAATTATACCATATTATGTCACAACGTGATCATATCATATTATATGATATCGTATCATATCATATCTTATCTTAGGCCCAAGACAACCCTAATTCACACAAAGGTATGTGCATTATATATACGAGACTCATACTCATACAAACCCTAACTTTAGCATCGGAGTCTCTTTTGCAGGTACCTCCCCCATCTCGGAGCACCAATACACCCAGCGAAGGAGACTCACCAATCTTACCCGGCGGATCAGCTCTACAGCAGATTTCCGGTAAGAACAAGATATAATATGAATTTTTAAAATTTATAAGACATTTTAGTTAATATTATTTGATGTTAAAAATTTACTCGTCATTATTTAATTAGAAAAACTTTCATAGTACAAGATATTTAATATAATATCTTAAAAAACTCTTAAAAAAATGTTCTATCTCCTTGTGCTTTGTTTAGATGGAGAGTGAAACGGAAAGGAAATAAATAAGATAAGAATGACCATATTAGAGGAGAAGTAGAAAATTACATTATTTGGATAGGTAAAAATAAAAAAGTGAAAAAGTGAGAAAATTTATGTTTGGATAAGTGGGAATGAGAGTAGTTTTTTATATTTAAAATATTTTTTTTAGTATAATATTTTTTCTTAACATAAAATTATCTATTATTTTAGAAATTAGTAATCTTTTTAAAAATTAAACCAAGAAAAAAAAGCAATTAATAATATATTTCTCCCATTTCATTTTAATTTAGGGAAAAAATTGTTTTATGATGTAAAAATAATTTTATTTCTATATTCAAACATTAAGTGGTGAAAATTAAATATTATATTTTATTTTTTCTTCCATATTTTGTTTCACTTTATTATTTCACAAACAAACAAGAAGTTAATTTCATTCTATTTTCTTGTTACCCGTGGTCGATCCAAACACATCCTTAGCCACTATATATTCCATGATCCCCTCAAGGGAATGCTTCAAAATCAGGATTCCCTTGTATTAAAGTTATCTCTATCATATATTAAAGTTATCTACATCACCTGTCACGCGGGACAAGTATATCTTCACCTTCGGGTAAGGTAGTGAATCAAATTCCTTAGGTAATTATATATACATTTAAGAAATCAATCTAACCTCAAAACACGCCTCTCTATTTAACTGTTACCTATATTTTGACTTATATTTCCAACATGTTAGAACATATACGAATAGTAATTTTTTATCTTCTTTAATTTAAAAGACCTAATTGGATAGGGATACCAATAATTCAGAAATATTATTCAAAAAGTAAATGTAAGCTCTGGGAAATTCGGGTTGAATAAAGAGGTCTGTGTAGAACCATGATTGAAGTGTGTGGGGAAGCAGAAAGAGCAATAAATCAATTCTCTCACTCTATCACATGATTGGGTGGGAGAAAGTAGACACTCACCACTCAAATCTTAATCAAAAAGCAACGAAGACCATAACTTTATCTTGTGGCTGGGAAAGAATGACACTTGGATTTTATGATGTTGCTATATATCTGTGTTCTTAAAATGTTTTTTTATGGTGAGTTTAGATATTACTGACTTTACAGTGAAAAATAAATTATTTTTCATGCAGAAGGTAAAGTAATAAATAGTTATCTTTTTTTATGCCATCACTGTATTCATTAAAATTAAACACAGATATTAAAAAGATTTACTATATTCATTTACCATGCTTAATACTTTAGAACTATCTAACACATTATTAAATTAATATTAGTTAATACAGATAATAGGGATTTGTATCTTATAAAAAAAAGTTCAGAATTTGATTATGTTGACAGAGGAAATTTAATCTTATATACACTTATGATTTTAAGAAAAAATAGTTATTACTTTTGATTGATAGATACTTCTAAAAAAAAAAAGAAAAAAACTAACACGCTATTGATTAAGGCGTGAGCACAAAAAAATTATTCTTAATTACTGTCACGCATAATTAAATATTATGCGTCCTTCAAATGTTCTTAATTACTTATTCATAACTAAAATGTTCACGCGTTTTGTGGGATCGAAAAGAGAATCACCACCAAACCCGCGTAACTTCTTTTGCACTTTGGAATCTGGAATCTCTTGTTTTTCTTACGAGTCTTGTTATTTATGGATACTGGTTAAAAAATTAATAGGAATAAAGATTTATTCAAATCATATTTAAATTATATAATCCTCGATTGACGCTTGTCCTCCGTGTAAAAAGTCTCTTGTTGCTTTGACAGTAAATTTAGAATAGTATATAGACAATTTTTTCTCCTTAATCCATTAAAGTGTTTATTTAATAATAAAATTGTGATAACTCTAACAAACTGTAGTTAATACTTTAAATGCAGTGATACGAATAATGTCAACAGATTTGATATCAAAACGTATGAATCACATTTTTATTAGTTTTTTTTAATAATGTTTGCATTAACCTCTGAATTTAGGATTTCGTGCATATTATCTCCTATTAACATTGATCAACAACATAAATAATAGTGATTTTATGTTTTTTAATTAAATTATCTAAATTTTGAAACTTTATCTTAATTATAAAATAAAATATGTTAAAAAGAAAATTATTATCTTGTGTGTGTTTATACATACTTCATATCAATATTATAATTATTTATGAAAATAATATATTATTTCCAGTAAAGCAACCCTAATATTTCACATCTTTATTAGAGATAATTTTTTTAAATTAGATAAAATTGTTGTAAATAAAATATCATTTAAATATTTAATTCAATTGTATATATGAAACACACATATTCTAAACTACTATCATTTAATTCATTTTAAGATGGGTATATGTTTGAGAAAACATTTGAAAATTATATAAGTCAATTTAACTAGGATGGATACAAGGATATGTGAGGTCTAAAGTAAAATTTTAGAGAAAAAATTTTTTCTTTAAAAAAGAGGTATGTTGAGTCTTTTTGCAAACATGTGAGAACAATTTTTGCAAATATATGAACCTTTTTAATATATATATATATATATATATATATATATATATATCTTCTAT